TCAGAGCTCGTTGCGGCGGACGTAGCGCGCGAAGTAGTCCGGCCGCCAGCACTTGCACGAGCCTGGCACGAGGAACCAGTCGTAGTACAAACGCACCTGCGTTTTTAATCAATATGTTACATCAATAAATAAAATCACTACCACAACATCCTGCTATAAATTTAACACAAAATTGTTCGTCTGTCTATACCATTCCCTGGCAAAAGTATAACAATACGAACCCATTACCAAAGGAAAAATGTGGCGTAGAGTAATGAAAATATAGAATTTCCAAAAAAGATATTTTGATTATTCTGAAAAGTAATGAGTTTCAGTAAAAGTCGTAAAATGAAGTATTTGTTTTAAAATATAAAGAACTACAATAGAAGTAACGACGGCAAACGAGCCCACAATCTGATAAGTGGACACTGTGGTTCACAGAGGCCTGCATCTGTTCACGATTAAGAATCAATGCAGATACGTTGTTTCACCTGAGGACTAAGATGAAATGCCTCGTCTTCAGTAAAAGGAATCTTTATTTCTCTACACTCACCATACGAAACACAGCAGCATTGTGCTACTATTCAGTGAAAGTTCCTTCCTCAATCGTAGCAACCCATTCGTGCTGCAGCTATAAATGATACTACAGTTCTAAAATTTAGCGACACAACCCTCATCTCTCAAATTCTAAATAAGACTCACTCTCTGGAGAGAAGAGAACCACCAGAGCCCCTCCCCTCCCTGCTTTCAGAATCATGAGTTTACCAGAAGTTTATGATAACACATGATGGAGCCAGTAGCTCATAGCTGAATCTCACCTGGTAGCATCCTTGTGACACGTTTGCGTCGCAGTGCACGGACTTCTCGGAACTACTGTCCACTGCCTCCTCCTGAATGCAACACACCAATGTGTTATGAAAGAGACCTAGATCTAGTGGAGGGTAGATAACATTTACTATGGACTTGATGTTACAATTCATTGCAAAAAAGTAAAAAGGTAAAAATAAAGTTACAGTCTATACACGTCCCACTGCTGGGCACAGGCTTCCTCCCCTTTCTGAGAGGATTTTAGGGCAACGAAGTGTCTGCCGCGCTGCCCCAATGCGTGTTGGCGAACTTCACCAAGTCTTCGATTTTTTTCTTATTTCTCAGACTGTTTTACTTTACCGTCGAGCACGTGGTAAATCGTTGCGAAAATTTACTTTATATTAAAAATAAAATAGAATAACAGCTCTTACTACGTACGTACTACAAACTTAGACCATTCAACCCAATGGACTCGCCTCGCATGATTATTTCCCTCTGCGCAAGTATTGGATTTAAAAATCTTGTGAGTTTATAAAAACTGTTACAGAATCGATTTCGTCAATCGTCATTACAAGAATCGTTACCGTCGTTGTAGGTGCTCTTTAAAAAAACTGCCGATTTGTGCGGTTTACGAGTGCAAAAAGAAGTCTATTACTTCAAATTTACAAAAAGATGGAGTTACATTCCATATGTATTTTTATTTTTATTTGCTTTCTCTCTATTATAATCATTTAAAATAATATCATAAATAATAATAGAGAACTTTACCGATAAGATAATCGAGAACATAATATTTCATAAACATCGTAGTGATAATCGAAATGTGAGAAGCGGACTCCACACGAGATTAGTTTTATATTTTTTTAAGTCAGCCCTTAGCCGTTACAAATTAGGTTTAAAATTGAACACACAAGCACAACGGCACTCAATACGAGACTAGTTTATATTAGCAACATGTAAACAATAAAAGTATAACGAGACTACTTAATCCTACCAATGGTCGCATCTTATCAAGTAACGTAAATGGTCGCGTGGATTACGTACGTAGTCCAATTTAAAATAAGAAGAAAACTTTAAAATATCTATTAAAGTGTATTTTTATTTTATTATAAATATGACAGAGATATTTATAATATAATATTATGAGAGTCATTACGAATCGTCTCGCACGCAGACTCAACGACTTCCAGCCTCCCGAACAAGCCGGTTTCCGAAAAGGCTTCAGTACCATATACCACATACATACCCTGCGGCAGATTGTACAGAAGACCGAAGAGTACAATCTGCCACTTTGCCTGGCGTATGTGGATATGAGAAAGCCTTTGATTCCGTCGAAATTTGGGCGGTGCTACAGTCCCTTCAGCGGTGCCAAGTTGACTGTCGGTATATCGAAGTGTTGAAGTGTTTGTACAGTAGGGCTACGATGGCTATCCGAGTACAGAACCAGAGTTCGAAACCTATCCAACTGCAGAGAGGTGTAAGACAGGGTGACGTTATATCCCCGAAACTCTTCACCTCCGTTTTCAAACTATTGGACTGGAAAGGATACGGTATTAACATCAATGGCGAGTACATCACTCACCTTCAATTTGCCGACGGTATAGTCCTTATGGAAAAATCACCGGAGGACCTTAGCACTATGCTCAATGACCTCAATGGTATCTCCCAACGGTCTATCCGTCTTAGGATGAACATGGACAAAACAAAGATCATGTTTAATGTCCATGTCACACCTATGCCGGTAGTTGTTGGGAGCACTATGCTCGAAGTTTGTTGACGAGTACGTTTACCTGGGACAAATAGTCCGACTAGGTAAGTCCAACTTCGACCGAGAGGTCAATCGACGGATTCAACTCGGCTGGGCAGCGTTCGGGAAATTACGACACATCTTCTGGTCAGGTATACCTCAATCTCTGAAAACTAAAGTGTACACATGGAGAGGGCTATGCTCGGAGTTTCTCTGCGTGATAGACTCAGAAATGAGGATATCCGCAGTAAAACTAGAGTGACTGACATAGCCCAACGGATTAGTAAGCTGAAGTGGCAATGGGCCGGCCATATAGCTCGAAGAACCGATAACCGATGGGGAAGAAAGGTTCTCAAGTGGCAGCCTCGTACCGGTAGGCGTAGTGTAGGGCGACGCTTCACTAGATGGAGTGACGACCTGGTAAGACATGCAGGAAGTCGATGGATGCAGGTGGCTCAGGACCGTGCTTTGTGGCATTACTTGGGGGAGGCCTATGTTCAGCAGTGGACTTGTGAAGGGCTGTAATGATGATGATGATGATAAATATGACACGGGGTAACATTTAGTAAAAGGTTAATCATATTTAATAAACAAAAACCATTTATACGTCCTTTTTTATTCAAATTATAATATTTAAAAAAAACTGTACCATATTAATATATGAAAATATCACATTAATTTCAAAGGTAGATCATAAAATAATTTACATATTTTTTTCTAATCATTTGGTATCAGAATTATCAAATTTGAGATTATTTTACAGTGGCTAACCGTTGTAATCCACGCGACAACTGTAGGGTTAAGTGTTTAATTGGAAATAATGTCATATTGATGTGTGATGTGATTGTGATGTACGGATCGATATCGATAATTTTTCATTATTATTCATTGAAAAATTCAACAAAAAATTTAAACTATAGATAAGTCTATAATAAAACTTCTTTTAATTATTATATTTATATCTACTTATTTTACCTGTTATCTAAGTAATACCTGCAACTTGTGACTACGTGGATAAGGGAAAAATAAAAAGTTCATAATGATTTCTTATATTTACGCGAACAATACACATTGAAATAATACTAGTTTTTACGGAATTTATCGCGTATATTTAACTTTTTAATTACCCGACGTTTCGAGAGCTTTACAGCACCCATGGTCACGGGAAGGACTGAGATGTTTAACGTCCAGCTGTCATAGTTAACCGCGGTTACCATAGATTAAAATTTAACTTTTTGTTCCGAACTACACAGTATGAACTTATGGTATCATGGAGTCTTGCAGTTGTATGCTTGGGTTGGGATTTAATTTTATTTATTATAGGATCCCAAGCAGATGGTAGCACCCAGCCATCTTCTCTATTGAAATTAGGATGTTTTTTGATTTCAATAGCCTCGCGAATCATCCTTGGAAGGGAATCGGTGTTCTTTAGCGAGGATTTGTGGTCTATCAATGCTGTAAAGCTCTCGAAACGTCGGGTAATTAAAAAGTTAAATATACGCGATAAATTCCGTAAAAACTAGTATTATTTCAATAAAAAGTTCATGTTAACTTTTTAGTTTTCCGGGACAAATGTAGCTTGTGTCAATTAAAAATATCCAAATCTTTTCAGTCGTTGTGGTGTGAAGGAGTAATAAACATCTTGAATCTGTTTGAATGGAATTAGGCATAGGAAAAACGTTTACTTACATAGCGATAAGGTTTTGTTGAGTATTAATTATTAGGTTGAAACATCTTAACTTTGGGGAATATTATTTAGGATATTATTTTCATTTGATATAAATAGGATTGAGCAAGTACAAAAGCGTTTTCTACGTTTTCTGCAATTTAAGATGCACTTTTACACTGTTAATTACATTTCGGGGTTTAAAATATTTCATAATTTGCTCCATACGAACGTATGCGCAGAGCATATATGATTTATCTTTTTAAATTGGAAAATGATAATATTGACTATCCGGAGCTACTAAGTAAGTTAGGATTTACAATAAGAGTTCCCCAATTAAGAAAGCCTCGCCTACTCCATGTGCCGTATACCCGGACTAAATACAGGCAAAATTATTCTATGATACGAGCATGTAGAACTTTTAACGACATTTCCAATAGCGTTTACATGGATTTGTTCAATACCACTGTACCTCGAATCAATAATGTTTTAGCAAAAAAATTCTTTTGTTGAGTGCTCTTCTGTTTAATTTAGTTAATTTACTGCATTTGTCTTATTATCCATGTTTATCTTTCACCGACTAGAATTTAATTGTTTTTAAGTTCACAATGTTTATAGGTGAATTTTTTTAAATGGTTTCTAGTTGTTATTCATTTATTTACTGGTAATGTTAGCTGTAAGTTTTCCAAAAATAATAAAATAAAACAAAATATTTAGTTCAGGGCAGTTTTCCAGGGGTGCGAAGTCAGAAGTCCTCCACGTGTGCCTGGTAGTTGCGGGTCCCTCTCGATACGTCTGGAGGGAAGAGCAGCAACTGGGCCGGTGCACCCTGGGCGCGGCGGTAATCTTCCTCGAGAAATGAGAAGAAATTCTTATTCCTTGGGGAATGTTGCTGCCGCGGCTAATTATTCTGACATGGGGGGGGTCCGTCCCGGACCAACAGTGCGTTCCTCTGCGTGACCCTCTGATCAGCAGAGGGCATAGCAGAGGAGCGAGGGTGGGCTCGGTGTGCACTTACCCTGCCTCCGGGCAGACAGTGAAGGATTCATCCTTTGCTGTCACCGCCGGTCTCGTAATCCCAGTATCGAAGTGTCGTGGATCATGTCTCGCGGCTTTAATAAGGACCGAGGGTCTTGGCTTAATCGCCCGGACCGCGAGGGAGAAAACCTCTACAAAAAGTTACTCCGAATCCCAAGCGGCGACGCACCGCGAGGGGATGGATGGCTGACGGGGTTCTATGAACAAATCAGCCGCAAGAGCGCTCCTCGCCAGGGTACCTGCAGACCCCCCTGGCGAGTAATAAATCCTCTAAATCTGCTTACCTTGGTACAGGGGTCTCTGCCAAGGTGGACCTTTAATTCCCCCATACTCGTGGGTACAAAAATGGAAAACCAACAAAAACAAAAGAAAGCAAAACCGCCGGCAACGCAACGTAGAGGAGAGGAGAAACGATGCGGGGACAGAGTTCGACGCCGCATCGAGCAGCGTGGGAGGCTCAGAGAGCTCTCGACGCGTGGGGCCTGGGGCCGCGGAGACCAGTAAGTTCTTCCGCAAGCCGTCCAGGCGGGATGGCGACCAGGGGCCGTCATCCGGTGAAGAGGAGGTTTCGGCCCGGAAAATCCCCACCAACAGGCGGGGCGGGCTGAGAGGCAAGAGGGGAGGGGGCTCTCTGACAATCAGATGGCCGAACGAGCGGCAAAGCTTGCCGAGGAGGGGCGCCACCCGGGCGATACGGCTCGGGTATCAGGCGAAGAGACGAGTGCGACTGGCGGCTCCGAGGTGGAGCGTAAGGCCAGATTCGCAAAGGAGGTGGAGGCCGCGATCAAGGTCGTGGCCTACAAGCAAAAGCCCTCCTCAAAGTTCAAGGCCATTCCCGGGGCCTCCGCCTCCATCATGGCGGCTGCGGAGGCCAACTTTGTTGGGGCCGGGCCTAATGCGGACGAGGTGGCGAAGCTGCGGGCGGACGTGGCCCGCCTGACGTCTGCCATGGAGACTCTCCAGAAGGAGAACGAGCAGCTCCGCGCAGACCTGGCCAGTCTACGTGAGCCTGCCTCTCGCGCGGCGCCCCAGACGCAGCGCCCAAGCCAGCTCGTGCCGGTGGAGAACCAGGTTCTGAACCTGGTCCGGCAGGAGCTGGCTGCCTTCCAGCACCGGTTCTCCGTGCTGGAGGGCATCGTCCTGCGCCCCCCCCCCCCCTAGGGGCAAACAAGACGGCGGCGAGGCCGGCAACGTACGCGACGGCCACGACTACCGCATCCAGGCCGGGGCCGTCCAGCCAGCCCTCGGGCGGGGCTGCAGTTGCCCCTCCCCCTGAAAAACCGGCTCCGGCTAAGCCGGCGACGGGAAAGAGAGGCAAGACGAAGGCGAAAAAGGGCAAGGCGGCAGCACAGGTGGTGGCTGCACCAGCCCCAGTGCCCGCGGCGAATGTGCCAGCGCCAGCGGCAAGCCAGCTGTCGCCGTCGTCACCGCCCCCCCAGTTCCCTACACCTCCCGCGGCTGAAGCCGGTTGGCAGGTGGTCGGGGACAAAAAGAAGGGGAAGAAGGCAGCCAAAAAGGCCAAAGAGCAGGAGCGGCAGCGCCAGTTCAGGGCGCGCAAGATCGCGGCTAGGCTCCGCGCCCCGAAGACCGCAAGCTGTAGTGATTACACTACAACCGGACGCGGAAAAGAAGGGCGTTACCTACCGCGATCTGCTCGCGAAGGCGAAGGAGGCGGTGGATCTCGGGGAGCTCGGGATCATCGGGGGCCTCCGGCTCAAAGTCACCCAGACGGGGGCCCGTATGCTGGAGGTCCCCGGGGGAATCCAGTGGCGCGACCGCGGACGCTCTGGCTGCGAAGCTCAGAGCGTCTCTGGACGCGGACGAGGCCCGTGTGTCCAGGCCCGTTAGATGCGCAGCCCTGCGCATCATGGGTCTGGACGACTCGGTATCGGAGGAGGAGTTGGTGGCCGCCGTCGCCAGGTCCGGGGGGTGCGCTACTGACCAGGTCAAGTCAGGCGCCATACGCCCGGACCAACAGGGTATGCATGCCGCCACGGTGCGCTGCCCTGTTACGCGGCACAAAACCATAGTGGAGGGCCGAAGGCTTCTGGTGGGCTGGGTCTCAGCGCAGGTTAAGCTGCTGGAGCCCAAACCTCTGAGGTGCTCTCGCTGTCCCGTGGGGCACCACGTATCAGTGAGATGCGCCTCGGAGGTTGACCGCAGTGGCTTTTGTTTCCGCTGCTGTCAGCCCGGACACATATCGGCGACCTGCTGCGCCACGCCGCACTGTGATGCATGTGCGGCGACCGGCAAGCCAGCCGATCACAGGGCCTGCAACCGGCAAGCAAGGCCTGCGTGCCACACGCCAAGGCCAAGGCCGCGGGTAGGGCAGGGGCCAAGGCCGCCACCGCCTCTGTGGCCTCCGCCGCAGCCGCAACTGCCACCGCCACCGCTGTCACTGTCGCCGCCGCCGCCGCCGCGTTACCGACGCCCGCAGAGGGGCCCCCCGTGGAGGAAGCTGAAATGGAATGCGTCGACGGCGCGTTTTGTTCCACGCGCGCCTCAAAGAGCTGTCAGCAGCGTGAAGGGGCCCGCAAGGGCCGACGCCTGCCGGGGCTGCGGGCTGTTCGAAAGAGATACCGCGGCTCCGGAACGTAAGGGCACTGAAGGAACACGGAAAAAAAGGGCAGTTTTCCAATGATACTTTAAAGTTTCTATTAATTCTCTCTTTAAAAGTTCGCTTGCTTCAATTCCTATCTTTTCTAGGACCTGTTTGTTTTATTTATTTACCAAAGATGTCTCTGTCAGTGAATCTAGTACTTCTTGCAAACTTGTAACTTTTTCTTTGAATTCCGTTTTAGAATAGACGATGTTGTCATTAAGATCAGCCCCAAATAAATATTTTTTTAATTTTATTTATAATTTTATTCCTTCATACATTGTATATATTGTACTGATTAATTAGTTGAGACACTTTATTTATGTTTCATAAAAGCATTTTATTGTAATAATATAAATCTCGATTTTAAAAATATTTTTTGGTGGTGAGGGCTTTTTACTACCTCCACTTTTTGTTTTTGATACTTAGAGGTCACTTTCGGTGACAGAATTTTTTCTTTGTAGATTTAGGTGCATTACTCGTCCATTAGGTTGAATGGTCTAAGACTCCAAACTTTACATTACACACTTTGGATAATTGTTGATACCCGATCAGTTAAGAGGACACTCGCTATGTCCCCTTAACTGAATGCCTTATAAATACGCTGTGAAGAAATTAATTAAATTGTAGAATTGTAGTTGGTTACTACAATTAACACGTTTACCACAATCATTGAAAGTTATTTTAAAAACATAACAACCGGATGCTTCAATAGCTATTATTTTAAATTATACCTTATAGGCCCTTATATTGTATAGTGTAGAGTAATACACACTTGAATGAGCACGTAGGTAGTCAAACTTCCGCTAAGTAGCGATGGTAGTGTTTTATAATACAATTTGTAAGCTACACTGTAGCCTGTATGTGTGTGCGCGCGCTTGTGTGTGTGTGTGTGTGTGTGTGTGTGTGTGTGTGTGTGTGTGTGTGTATGTGTGTTGTGTGTGTGTGTGTGTGTGTGTGTGTGTATGTGTGTGTGTGTGTGTGTGTGTGTGCGTTTGAACTCTAAAAACTCAAAGGATCCTTGACATTGTTCCAATATTGTACAAATATATAATACAACAATAAACAACATACAAAATTGGACCTGCTCAATGCTGCTATTAAACTAAATTTGTATAAATAGGGTTGTTATAATATTAAGGGATTTATGCATCATAATAACCCCTGCGAATGGGGTGATCGCTACCAAGCTATTTCTAACTTTTTTTTGTGTTGTTGACTAAAATAACATATAATTGAAGGCTGTTATTTTTTTTAAAGTGCCGCTGAGTTTCTTGTTGATTCTTTCCAGGACAGTGTTTTTTGCCAGTGTGAATGCGATATGAGTGATGTACGTGTGCGAGTACAATGTTAGTGTAAGAATGCGTTGCGTGTGCGGTGCGAGCGTGGTGGGAGTTCCGAGTGCAGTGCGAGTGCTGAGTGCGGGACGAGTGCAGAGCAAATGTGGCCTGAGTGCAATAATACTTGCGAGTGCAGTGTGAATGCTGAGCAAGTGAATGGCAAGTGCGGTGCGAGTGTCGAGTGCGGGGTGAGTGCAGCGCAAATGCGGGCCGAATGCAGTATTAGTTGCGAATGAGATGCGAGTGCCGAGTGAATGCCGGGCGAGTGCCGAGCAAGTGAAGGGCGAGTGCTGTGCGAGTGCCGAGTGCGGGGACAGTGTAGAGCAAATGCGGGCCGAGTGCAGTATTAGTTATGAGTGCGGTGCGAATACGGAGTGCGGGGCGAGTGCAGTATTAGTTGCGAGTGCGGTGCGAGTGCCGAGTGAATGCGGGGCGAGTGCTGAGCAAGTGAGGGGTGAGTGTATTGTGAGTACCGAGTGAATGCGGGGCGAGTGCCGATCAAATGCGGGGCGAGTGCCAATCAAATGGGGGGCGAATGCAGTATTAGTTGCGAGTGCAGTGCAATTGCTGAGTGAATGCGGGGCGAGTGCTGTGCGAGTACCGAGCGTGTACGGTGCGAGTGCTGAGTGAGTACAAGGTGAGTGTTGTCTGAGTTGCAAGGGCGGTACGAGTGTCGAGCGAGTGTGAAGCGAGTGCAGTGTAAATTGAGAGTGCGGTGCGAGTGCGAAGCGAATGCCGAGCGAATGCGGGACGAGTGAGTTGATGTGTATAATGTATACTCACAGGAGAGTGCGGCGGCTGGTGGTGCAGCTCGGCCACCAGTAGCGACAGCCAGCGCGGCGAGCTCAGGCAGCCGCCCTCCAGGAAGTGGCAGCGCGACTGCATACACCTGCACAACAATACCCATACCCTCACGATAGTTAAATAAATTAAACATAAGGGGCGTGTGGGTAATATGGTCACCTTAAGCTTTTCCAACCTTTTAACGCAAAACTTCGCCGTGTAGTGACGGTATAAGATTTTTACGTGGTAGAGCAATGCTGCAGTTATATTAGTAGTAGTAGCACGAATGGGTCAGCTCGACCGGGAAAGGACCACGCTGTAGATGTATATGGGCCAAAGCAACCACTTACCATCAGGTGGACTGTGTGCTCGTTTGTCACCCTATTCTATAACAAAAAAAGAATATTTACTACCCCACACGATCCCGTGCGTGTTGTAAGAGGCGACAGAGGAAAACAAATCAGGAGATGAGCAGCAGCATTTTCATAATAATGACTAAAAATAACAATGATGGACTGTGGCGGATGGGCGTCCTGATCCCTTCCTGTCGCAGCCAAGGTAGAGTCACGAAGGAGTGTTGGTATGCGAATGCGAATGCGAAATGCCACTCGTCCCATACTCCGCGGCCAAAACAGATCCGCCGCTGGGGTCAGGAAGGCCGGTGCCTGCTCACTCGTAGTTTGCTTTTTCCTAGCCCAATGTCCTACGCGTACCGAGCTCGGAGGAGGAAGAATTTGAAGTTGCGAAAGAAGGCACGCCTACTGTTCTGGTGCGATTTACCTAAGAAGGAGAAGTGGGTGGAGTTGTTCTCTTTTGATGAAGGGCTGTCATGGGACGACTGGTGTCAGTGGGGCCGCGGATACACGTGAAAGCGTGGCCGTAGCCCTGCCAATGTGTGAAAAAGGTAGAACACTGTGAGATTTTAACGAATCCGAGTCCGACATCCTTTGCTACCGCGAGTCGAGTAGACTTTACCCCATGAAAAAAGACACGCACCTGGTGACCTCGACGGTCTGTGTAAAGTAACCCTCGTATGGGATCTGCACCACGTAGCGCCAGACGCCCTGGTAGTTACGCGCGAACACTGGAGTCGCGTACTCTACGCGTGCTGGACATGGAGTTGGAGGGCCCTGTAGCATATACCACACAATGACACAACTCTACTTGGCATCCCGAAATGAGCAGTAAACCTCATGCTTCGGGATAAATAACATTATAAAACTTGTATACATTTAAATCCAATGTGGAATATCCAAATAGGTGAAGTGACGAGTACATTCAGAACCTGGTAGTACCATGCTGCAGCGGGGTTATAGCACTAATAGGTTGGCTCGACTGAAGAGGACCCCACTCTCACAGCCAGCGTAAACGCAGCTTAATGCTGGTGTACTTTGCGTGACTCTTTTTACTGGAAACGAGGCATTTCATCTTAGTCATCAGGGATGACAACGTATCTACAAATTTATTCTTAATCGAGGATAAATGTAGATGTCTGTAGGCCACAGTATTTACTCACCATCAGGTAGTCTGTATGCTCGTTTGTCACCCTTATCCTACAAAAAAACTTAATCAATCTTAAAGTTCGTTAATTCAACAGCTAAACGTAGCAGTAAGTATTAAAATCTGAATACTACCGGAGTATTCCGTGTTCAATGCTGGATAAATACAAAATAAGCAATTATGAATTATGATATAGTGACATAACTTAGTATATATCTGGCAGTACTTAGATTCAAGTATACTTGGTGTAAATTTCATATTAAAAAATCAACGGCGCATTTGCTTACGTGAGTGCATGCTTGCGTGGATGTGTGCGTGCGTGCATGCGTATGTGCATCTCGAGTACGTGCTCGCATGCATGCGTGTGAGCATGCGTGCGTGCGTACTTGTGTGCATGCGTGCATGCGTGCGTGTGTGCGTGCTGTAGTGCGTGCGTGCGTGCGTGTGTGCGTTTTGCGAGCGTACGTGCGTGTTTGCGTGAATGTGTGCTAGCGTGCGTGCCTGCCTGCGTGCATGTGTGTGTGTGCGTGTGTGTGTGTGTGTGTGTGTGTGTGTGTGTGTGTGTGAGAGAGAGAGAGAGAGAGAGAGAGAGAGTGTGCGTGCGTGTATGTATACGTGCCTCGTATCTGGGTGGCGGAGGTGCGGCGCCAGGGTCTTCTCGGCGCTCGGCTCCGGCCGCACTTTCGCCGTTGATGGCACGGTACAGCATGCAGAACCTGCAATTTTACAATCACATTCAGCCCATCTTCTTACCTCCTTAACATACACTACCTTATATTACGAACATATGTGTATGTATGTTCCTTATGTAAGCTAATGCAACGAAAAACGTGCTTGTGAAACGCTCCTGAAAAAGAAGAGAGACGATAGTACTAGGGATACCTTTGGTAATGGGACGAAAAAAAAATCGATCCTGATGAAAAATAAACTATTTCTTACAACGTTCATTTAGCTTTATCTCTATCATGTAAATACAGAAAAATTACACGATAATGTCTTTCACTTTCATACGTAAAGATCGGGTTGATAAGAGAGGGGGTGGTGTTGCTATATACCTCCGCAGTGACTTATCTTATAAACTTCTAGCTTCCTCCTCGCCCTTTTACTCCTCATCTGCTGAATTTCTTTTTCTTGAATTATGTGTTCAGGGAGCTAAAACCGTTCTTGGTGTTGTATATTGTCCCCCTTCTGTTGATTACTTCTCCAGTCTCGAAACGACTCTGGAATCTTTAGGGTCAGAATACTCACATCACATCATCATTAGTGATTTTAATACAAATCTCCAGGCTTCGCACTCATCCCGTTCCTATAAGTTCCTTCAAATAATCGGGTCGGTTGGCCTTCATGTTCTACCTCTACAAGCCACTCACCACAATGCCGACGGGGAGGACACGTGGCTCGATTTAATGCTCACCTCAAACCCCACCCTTGTCTCTACTCATAGTCAACATTATGCGTCTGGTTTCTCCCATCATGATCTCATTTTCCTTTCCTATATCCTGAAACCTCCTAAACCCTCACCTAAAACCCTGCACTTGTGTTGTTTTGGCCGTATGGATGTAGAGAAGTTATGTCAGGATGCTTCTAAAATTTACTGGGACACAGTGACAGCCGCTCCCGCGGTAGACGAAAAGGTTAGCACATTTAACTTATTAATTATGCATGCTCCTATTAAAAAAGTAAAGCTAAAGCGGCTGCCAGCACCTTGGATGACAACAGAGATCCGCGTTGTGATGAGGCGGAGAGACCGAGCCTTTCAGAAATATAGAAAAGTGCGGTGTTAGGAAAATTGGTCCATTTTTAAAACTGCAAGAAATCGGTGTAACAAGATGATACGCAACGCGAAACGCCGATATATTCTTAACAACATCACATCCTCTTCCCCCGCAGATATCTGGAAGTTCCTTGGAACCATGGGTATTGGTAAAAAGTCCCATTCTGAGTTTCAGAGGACAATTGGTTTGGATGATATCAATCAACACTTCTCTTCACATACACCTCTGGATCACCAAACCAAGTTTAAAACTGTTAATCAGTTAATGGGTTTACCTCGTCCTAATATCGCTCCTTTCCGCTTCTATCCAATAACTACGAATGAAATCAGGAAGGTTATACTCTCCATTAAGTCTAATGCTATTGATTGTGACAATATCAGCCACCATATGATTATTAATATTATAGACCATCTCCTCCCTGCTATTTCCCATATAATTAACTTCTCTCTGGATTCTGAGTTTTTCCGTTGCTGTGGCGTAAAGCTTACATTATACCTCTGCCAAAAATTTCTAATCCTTCTTTACCTAATCACTTCCAACCTATATCCACTCTTCCCTTTTTATCAAAGGTGCTAGAGGCTTGTGTACACAAACAGCTATCACATTTTATCTTCTCGAATAACCTGTTAAGCTCATTACAGTCTGGTTTCAGGCTAGGTCATAGCACTGTTTCCGCGCTCCTCAAAGTCACTAGTGACATTAGGGCAGGCATGGAGGAAACTATAATCACAGTACTGGTTTTGGTTGATTTCTCTAACGCCTTTAATGTCATCAGCCACGACATCCAATTATCAATCCTTTCACTTTCTATGATCTCATCTGAGGCTTTGGAGTGGTTCTCATCTTATATTAGAGGCCGCCAGCAGTCAGTTCGCATTGACGAGTCCTCATCAAGTTGGTGTGTTTTGCATGCTGGTGTTCCTCAAGGCGGTATTCCATCTCCGTTGTTATTTTCAATATTTATAAATCTCATTACACCAAATCTTCAGTGTGCGTATCATTTGTATGCTGATGACTTGCAGTTAGTAGACTGTATATCTACAGCAATTGAGTCTCTTAATAGGGACCTAGAGTATATAAAGAACTGGTCTGACAAGTTTGGTCTTAAAGTTAACCCATCCAAATGTCAGGCTATAATAATAGGTAGCCAACGGATGATAAAGAAACTGGATCCCACAGCTTTACTGCCGATCATTTTTAACGGTTTTATTTTACAATTGAGTAATACCGTGAAAGACCTTGGATTGAATATTGACTCCACCTTGAGCTGGCAAACTCAAGTGGCAAATGTTTGTCAGAAAGTGACAGGTATTTTGCGTTCTCTCTACCGCCTGAAGAACTTTCTCCCGTCCAGGACCAAGACGATTATTGTGCAGACCTTAATTTTTCCTATTTTTGACTATGGTGATGTGTGTTATTTTGACCTGAATGCATAACTCTTGAACAAATCGACCGTCTTCTTAATAACTGCATTCGATTCATTTTTAATCTTCGAAAGTATGATCATGTGTCTACTTATCACTCTCAACTTAACTGGTTACCCATTCGTCAGCGCCGTAGTCTACGTGCAGTCACTACTCTTTACTCTATCTTGATATCTCCTTATCTCCTAATCTTACATCTTATTTAACTCCTCATTTTCAATATCTTACCTCCAACCACGATCTATCATGATCTATCATATCGTTCTCCTTTTGCTTCAGGGCCCCCTTTTAGTACTAACTTTGTACAATCATCGTTCTTTATTCAATCTGTTCTTCTTTGGAACGCTCTTCCTTCTGAAATTAGGAGTGCTGAAAACCGGATTTCGTTCAAATCTAAAGTGCGAGAACTGCTCGTCAATAAAATGGCAGAATCAACTTAGCGTTTGTAGTTAGCCGTGTTTAATATTATTATATTTAATATATATATATGAATATATATATATATATATATATATATATATATATATATATATATATATATATATTGCACATACTTCTTATTACACCTACCTCTTTTATCTCTGCACTACTCTAAGGTAGACTGGTAGATAATGCCTCAGGCATTAAGTCCGCCTATATACATCTAATGTGTATATGAAGTTAAATAAATAAATAATGTCATAAGAAAAATTATGAAAATACTTAAACATTAAACCAGCAGTGAAACTTTAAATACCTCCTAACATCGACGCCAAATACGCGTGGCTCATAAGTAAGAGCCTGTCCAGAAAGCGCGTTTTACGCGCGTATCCACTCGCGCGTAGGCACTCGCGCGTTCTCGAGATACTAGAGCTACATACATGCCGTCCAGATGCTCTCGCGCGTTACCTCACACGCGCGTAAAACGCTTGCAATGAGCGGGACTCTCGACTCGCTCGTTTTACGCGCGTGCGCCGCGCGAGTCGAGATACTCCGGCGCCATTGCTGCGTCCAGTACTACGCGCGTGTCCGTGGCGAGTGGACGTATTTGGTTCAAAATGGAGCGTGATAACTTTGACACGGAACTTTTTATTGACGAAATTGAGAAAAGGGTAGCTATATGGGATATGGAATCATCAGATTATTCTAATAGAATCATTAAACGTAGGAACTGGGAAGAAATAGTAGAAATTTTTTGTGAAGCTGGTGATTCCGAGGAGAAAAAAAAAACTTTAGGTAAGTAAATAATATTTTATTAAATAATAATATTCCTTGCACATATTTTACATTAATAAACTATATCATTTTATCTTGCCAAGGGAGTTTGTCTTCGTTAACAAAATAATCAGCAAATCTATCTCTTGTATTCAATGATCTCGCATTAGGCCTCACTGCCTCAGTGTTCAAATTAATCAGAGATGTTTCGTAAAGAGTGTGATCATACCTGTAGCCATCCCTTAACCTTACGTAGTTATGGAGAACACAACAAGCCTTAATGATATTTTCTGCAAATTCTATGTCTACATTCAACGGTCTATGAAATATTCTCCATTTATTTACTAAGATGCCAAAGCAACATTCAATGTAACGCCGGGCTCTGGATAAGCGATAGTTGAAAATTCTTTTTTTAGTTGTTAGAGATTTACCGCAATAAGGGCGCATTATATTTTCAGACAGACTAAACGCCTCATCTCCTACTATGACATGAGGTAAGGGGGGTTGTATCTGTTTGCGATATTGGCTTTGGATCTGGGATATCTAAAGTTTTCTCGACAAGTTTTTTATATAAAATAGAGTCTCTAAAAATTGTGGAGTCATTACTTTTTCCATATGCGCCTATGTCCACTGCAATAAAACAATAATTTGCATCGCATACGGCCAACAAAACAGTTGAAAAGTAACTCTTATAGTTATAAAAAAAGAGATCCAGAATCATTAGGTTTTATAATACGGATGTGCTTGCCGTCAATGGCGCCGATGCAATTTGGAAAATTTGTGTATTTTTGAAATTGTTTCGAAATTTCTTTCCATTCAGCCTTCGTTGGTTCTCTCATTACTATATTTTGCAGTTTGTTCCATATGACGTAACAGGTTTTCTGTACTATTTCGATAACTGTAGACTTTCCTAATCTGTAGGCATAATGCAGGTCCGCAAAATAACATCCTGTAGCCAAATATCTGAAAAGAAAGTTACATAAGAATTATTATTTTATTCTAATCTTTTTTATTGTTTACAGGTACTTTATTGCAGAAGAAGTGGAAAGGGTTGCGTGATGGCTTTGTAAGAGAAATGAAGAAGAAGAAAACCACACCGTCTGGATCAGGAGCCTCCGGCAAAGCCAAATATATTTATTTTGAACGTTTGATGTTCCTCGAAAGATCGACACGGAATAAAAGAACTGAGAGCAACATCAACACCGCGTCTATTGCAGCTGAAGAACAAGAGTTTTCGGGCGATGGGGAAGATGTAATGAGACCTCCACGTAGTCAGGCGAAAAAGAAGAAAAACCTAAATGCGGCCGACGAAGAAT